TTTTGTTAACAAGGGTGTACTTTTTTTTAAGTTGTGTTTTTCATTTGTATGAAGCTAATTTAGTGAATATTTCATAGTGACTTTGTTTATATGTAAGTAATCACTGGTTATGGTTTATTTTTATTACAGTCTCTTTCTGGAAGTAATTTAACACATTTTTCAGGAATATCCTAATGAGTATTTTTAATGTGATTTTTTTTCTCTCCAAATAAACTTACCTCAAGGATGACTTTAGTTTTGTTGAGAATTTGAATATGTGAAACACTGATTTTCAGTGAAAAAGTTTCTGATACTGTGTATTGGTGAAGGAAGTTTGTATATGTATTTATTGCTTATTTTTAATCTTACCTTTATTGCAACCAAATTTTATAAAGCGATTGATTTCTTAGTTGTTCTTGATACTTTTTGTGCAGGTAAATCCTAGATTCATACCTGTTTATTATTGCTTGGGAACTTTACTTCCTAGGGACTGGTTAGGAAGCTGATGCTTATGAACTCTAGAAAGTCATTTTTAAAAAATAGTAAAACTTGGTATTTGTCCCTATATTGCAATGAAGCTGGAGAAAAAACAAAATTCCACTTCCAGGTAAGATCTGGTTAGCTCACTCTTGCACTTAAAGGGGCTGTAATACCTCTAGCAAAAGCATAGAGCAGCTATTTAAGGACTCTATAAAGTAAATGCAGACAGTCCTTGTCCCATGCTTTTGATGTGCGTGACATTCATTACTTTAGCTGAATAACGCCTATCCTTAAGCAATGCAGTTCAAATTTCAGTTACCATGATGTAATTACTGTAAGTAACTGCGCAGACCACAAATGTTGCTGCTAGTTCTTCAGACCGCATGTTAATATGTTAATCACACTGTACCTCTTTTGCAGGCTTTTGATGCTTGGTTACAGTGAAATGTGCAATTTGTTACCTCCTTTCTTCCCAATGATAAATTCACATATTACTTATAAAACAGTGACTTAGTTTCAGCAAAATAGCATCATCTCTCATAGAAAATTAACATTAAGGGGCCTGCATTGTGGCGCAGTGGATAAAGCTGCCTTTGGTGACCTTTGACATCAATATATGGGTGCTGGTTCTTGTCCTTGCTGCTCCACTTCTGATCCAGCTCCCTGCTAATGGCCTCCCACTTGGGAGACCCAGATGAAGTTCCTGGCTTCAGCCCGGCCGTTGTAGCCATTTGAAGACTGAAGCAGCAGAGGGAAGATCTCTCTGTCTCTCTCTCTCTAACTCTGACTTTGAATTTTTTTTTCTTTTTTGGTAAGGAATGTCTGTATGTGTCTGTAAAATTAATTTTAACTAACTTTTAGTTATAGGTTAGGATTTGTTAGCAAATAAGCCCCCATAAAAAAGATGCCCTTGGCATTGACAGATGAAATTATTCTGGATCAACTTTCTTACTGAGAGCAAGTAGAAAGGAAGAATAATATACAAAATAATATTATGAACACATCAGGGAAATACTAAGGCGGCAAGGAATTTTGTAGACAGGATATGTCAAGAAAAGGAAATCCAGAAGGATAAGCCCTGTTTTTGGTACTTTTTTCCTCTATCAAGGTAGTAGCTGATTCCAGAAGAGGTGGCTTAGAAGCAGAGACTTGGATCAGAGCTGTGTTTGAAGTCAAGAGACAAGAAGGCCTGAAACTGGAGTTCAGGAACTCTCCAGCTTTCAGCTGAGCCCGAGAGGATGACAGTCACTGAGAAATGATGAATTGAAAATAGGAGAAACAGTAAACTGAAAATAGACCTATCCTCTAAGGAAGAGAAGTCCATCTTTGAATCATCTCAGTTCTTAACGAGTTGAGGTTATGTGGGATTGGTAGGGCCTCTAACCAGAAGCAAAATCAAATCCCTTCTGAAGGAAGATGTTGTCCACCAGAGTTTTAAATTATCTTTGCAGCTTTCAATGCAATGTCTATCTATGAGAAATGTTTAGGCATAAGAGAAATCAAAACATGACTGAGAGGGGGAAAAAGCAGACAATAAAAACATGTGGGAATATAAAGTAGATATGAATAACATGTTCAAGAAACTAAAGACAAGATTGAGAATTTTGGTGAGGAGTTCAAAACTAAATAGAATTTTCAAAACTGAAAAATAATATAAATGGGTGAAAATATTTAGCTGAGCAGCTAAGATGCCAGGTGTGACATCCGTGTTCCAAGTCAGAGCAGTTGGGTTAGATACCTGGCTCTGGCTCCTGAATCCAGCTTCCTGCGAATGTGCACCTTGGGAGGCAGCAGGTAACAGCTCAAGTAATTGGGTTCCTGCCATCTATTGGGGAGAACTTGATTGAGATCCTGGTTTGGTTCTGTACCAGCTTTGAGTGTTGTGGGTATTTGGGGATGTGTATCACCAGGTGGGAGCTTGTTCTCTTTTTAGTGCTCAAATAAATAGATCAAGGATGCCAAGGAAACTGCAAATGGGACTCAAAATTTGATAAATGTATAGCAAGATAACTTTTAAAAAATTTTATTAACTGTATAAGACTTTTTTTTTGTAAAGATTTATTTATTTACTTGAATTTCAGAGAGTTACACAGAGAAGGAGAGGCAGAGAGAGAGAGGGAGAGGTCTTCATCCACTGGTTCACTCCCCAGATGGCTGCAACGGCCAGAACTGTGCTGATCTGAAGCCAGGAACCAGGAGTCTCCTCTGGGTCTGTCACATGGGTGCAGGGGCCCAAGGACTTGGGCCATCTTCTACTGCTTTCCCAGGCTATAGCAGAGAACTGGATCGGGAGTGGAGCAGCTAGGACTTGAACCCGTGCCTATATGGGATGCTGGCACTGCAGGTGGCAGCTTTACCTGCTACACCACAGCACCAGCCCTGCAAGATAATTTTTAAGTTGATAATTTTGTATGGCCTGTGAATGATGTTATAAATATCCATATGATCTTTGGCAGAAAAAAGATTCCTACTCCTGAAATAGGTGATAGTAAATAGTAATCTACCCACCATAGGTGGATAGACAATAGCTTGTGTGTAGTTGAGAAAAGAATTAGTGAGTTCAAAGATAGACCAGTGTAAGATATTCAAAAAGAACGGAAGAGTGAAAAATAGAGAAAATATAGGACATAAAGGTTTTGGTAAAATGGAGTAAATTAAATGGGGGGGGGGGAAATAGTGCAGAAACAGTGGTTGGAGGAATGATGATGGCTGAGAATTTACAATATGTAAAAGATACCAACCTATATATTCTATAATTTCTTTGGGTCAAAAATAGGATAAACACAAATGAAACTGCACATAGTTGTATCATACTGAAGCTGCTGGCAAAGAGTAACACATAAAACAATTGGCAATCTAAAAAAGGCAAATTACCTTCAAAAGAGGAGCAGTGGAAGGAAATGACAGCTGAATTTGGTTTCAAAAGCAAACTGAAATTAGTCTTAGTTTGAAAGCTGTGAATATTTTAGGAAAAGTTAAGAAAGCTTATTTTATATTTTTGTTTTGTCAGTATTTCCTGTGATATACAGTCACTTTACATTTGTAGACCTTTCTTCATGTTTACAATTAGATATAAGCCCATTAGCTTTCATGTTGTTTAATTTTATTCTGATCATTTTGTTATAAATGGTTGCTGTACTGCCTTGGGTTCACTAGATAAAACTTCTGGTCTACTTACATCATTTTATTCATATAAAATTACCTTCAAGTTAAATCTTGCTTCTCCTGGTTGGTTCTCAACTGTGTGTTTCTGCAGATTCATAGACTAGGTCCTACAGCTATTGAATAATTAGGATGCTGTTGCACATATCTTAACCTTGGGAAGCAGAGAACAGAAGGATGTGGAAATATTAGCCTTTAAATTTTTTTTTAACAGAAATGAGAGCAACAAAAGAGGTAGATTCTTGAAATTCTAACTCTAACACTTTTAATCCAGATTGTTTTGGCTTTGGTTCTGTAGAACAGCTAAATCCAAATAGCTAAAATGAAAAAGGATTTGCTTCATTTGGGATTCATATTTTGTTTCATCTGTTTGCCTATTAGCTGAGGCTGCTTTATTCCTGCACATTTCCCCAGGTACACTAGCATGTTATCTTTATAAATGTTTTTCCTTTTAACCCTTGGCTGAATTTTGGCAACTCTGTCTTAATCAATTGTTTTGTTTTGACTTTATATTTTAACAGTTGTGGATAACTTGCTGTATGGATCAATGCTTTAATTTTTCAGTAATTATTTTTTCTCATTCCTGCATAAAACTTAGACCTAAAGCTCTTAGCAATTCAGGGTCTGTGGATTTTCCTCATATTTACTCTTTGTTCCCTTGGATTTTAGTTGAATCCTCATCTTAGATCTCTAACTTCCAGCTCTCTGTGTTATTCTCTGTATTTAATGTATTTCTATTGGAGGCAGCTCCTTAGGTTTAAAAAGGTGTTTTCTTTTGTCTCCTGCTGTCTGACTTCCTAAAATCAGACGAGATGGTTTGGAAAATTATACTCTGTAGTAAATATTGGCAGACTGATAGTCTGACAGTGTATATCTGGCTCCAATTTTCTGGGATGATCAAAGTAGTATTCTGATATAGAGTTAGGCAGTGTACATTCTTTTAGTAGCAGCAGTGACAGCTGTTCAGTTTCCTGCTTGTTGCATACCTGGGATTTCTGAGGGAATGTTTAAGAGCAAGCAAGCCTGTCTCTTGCTTTCAGAAGTGTTGATTTTGTTTCTCTGTGTGGGTGGTACATCCATTAGACGTTTCAGTTTGGTTTCGTAAGCCCTTAGATAGTAGTTAGCTTTACCAAATTCTGACAATAGAAATATGGGGTAGGTAGTAACAGATGCTATCGAAACCTGATGTTAGCATTAGTTCTTAAAATATTTGTGTGCACTGTTTTGAGATTTTCTAACATAGTTCAGAATTTTCTCTGTCCTGAGTTTTCTTTGGGAAGCCAGACATTTCAGAAGTAGCCTTTAAAATATGTAGTCTATTTATATTTGGAAGTTTTTAAAAAAGAATAACTCTCCCTTCATTATGTTCTTGAATTTAGTTAAAAGAAAGCTTGGAACATTCAATAGGTCAACTACGGAGTCAGCGTTTATTGAGAAACTCAGGAGCAAGAAGTATTTCTGTTACAAGTCTGAGTGCCAGTGACTTTGATGGTGACACTGTGACAGGTAAACTCTTCAAATGTTCTGAAAAGCCTTTTTCATTTTAAAGGTATTTCTGAAGTACATGTTGAGTACATATTTAGTCACTGGAGAAATACAGCCATACAGAACATCATTTGGATTAAGTTTTAGAATATGCTTTCTTTTTTCTTTTTTTAAGATTTTATTTATTTATTTGACAGGTAGAGTTACAGTGAGAGACAGAGAGAAAGGTCTTCCTTCCGTTGGTTCACTCCCCAGATGGCCACAGTGGCCGGAGCTGCGCCGATCCGAAGCCAGGAGCCAGGTGCCTCTTCCTGGTCTCCCCATGAGGGCCCAAGCACTTGAGCCATCCTCCACTGCTATCCCAGGCCATAGCAGAGAGCTGGACTGGAAGAGGAGCAACCGGGTCTAGAACCGGTGCCCATATGGGATGCTGGTGGCGCAGGCGGAGAATTAACCTAATGTGCCACGACGCTAGCCCCAAAATATGCTTTCTTTAAATATTTTGTAGTACATAGTTTGAAATATATTAAAGGATCTTTGAAATTTTTAAAGGTTTATTTCTTTGAAAAACAGAGTTAGAGAGAGGGAGAGACAGAGAGAGACCTTCCATCTACTGATTCACTCCCCAAATGGCCACAATGGCCATGACTGGGCCAGATTGAAGCCAAGAGTTTCTTCCTGCTGTCCCATTGTGGTTGCAGGGACCCAAGCATTTGAGCAGTTTTCTGCTGCTTTCTCAGGCACATGAGCGGGAAGCTAGATTGAAGTGGAGCAGCTGGGAAATGGAACTGACTTTACCTGCTACTGGGACGAACTGGGCTGGCTTTATCTGCTACCCCACAATGCGAGCCCCTATTTTAATCTTCAGTTCTATTTTTCTCAGTCTTTGTAGACTACCTACAAATAATTAATCATACTTAAAACTTTCTATTGCTATTGATCATGATAATCATGATTAAAAATTGGACATGGCCATCTGATCTTTTTATGTGGTTTGCTTTTATGTATTTTTGTATACTGATCAGATTTTAGATTTTTTATTTGAAAAATTCTGTTTTATTAGTATTGTATTTTAGAGATTCATGAGAGTTTTTGTTTAGTAATTTATGTATAAGAAAATATTTTGTTGCTTTTTTGGAAAGTATAGCAAAGCTGAGCTTTTGGAATGTCCTATTTCCAGGCTATTTCTTTTTTTCATTGTATCTGCTTAAAGACCAAGATCTCTATCAGTTTTGTGGAACTTTATGGCCACAGCAAGATACTTAGGAAATAGTTAAGTGCATGTGTGAATAACCATGTCTGGTATACATTTACTCAGGGACATTTTAGATGTTTTTTTCTCATGCAGTGTTTTAATCCTCTTCTTTTTCTTTCAATTTTAAAGAAAGCCACCGCATTCCACCTACCTCACCTCTCAAGGACTATGGGGATTCCCAGGGCATTAAACGAATTAGGTCCAAAACTGGTGTCCGGTTTGTTCAGGAGGCTGAAGATGTGGCCCAGGTACCTTGTACCATTCAGTGATTTGTGTGCAGCATTTCCTTATATTTCTGTGTAAATTATTAATGCTTGAGCTTTATGGCTGTAGTTTAGCCAAGAGTTTGGTCATTAGTCACTTTGTTTTGGTCTTTTTTTTTTTCTTTTTAAGCAAGTAAACTTTTTTTTCTTTAAATATATGAATTGTTATCATACATTAATTTCAAATTTTGTTATGAAGAATTATATTTTGCAAAACATTTAACAGTGAGTTTAATTGGCCATGATTTGTTTCCTTCCTTGTTCAGGTGGTTCACTCTTCTCTAAGCCCAGTTAAGTCAGCTGCTTTCTCTTTTGCTAAGTTTGGTTTGGTATGAACAAGTTCATCCTTGTGTAGTTGACCTCTTGTTTTTTATACCATTGGTTTTTTTACTGATCCTTGAAATCATTGAATGGAACCATGTACATTAAGCAAGAAGTTTCATACTAAAGTGTTTGTTTTATGTATATAATTTTTTCTTGCTTCTTTGAAGTTCTCCACAGAGCCGAAAGGATTCCTTGTATTATCTTAGGTAGCTAGACTAATTAGAAGAGGCCTAGAGGAAGTTTCTGATTCTTAGATTTTTGTTTCGATAATTTTAGGATTGGGTCTCAAAGTTTATCTTAAATCCAGTGCATTAGAAAATGCCTTATAAATTTTTCCTTGTCTGTGTTATTTTTTGATAAATGGAACTTGCTAGCATGGGCTGTATTATTAAACCTAGAGCAGAGAAGATTATCTTACCATCACTCATTTACTTTTTCATTCTTTTTATTTAGTGCCTCTATTGTTGGGACAGTGCTTATGCTTGGAGATGATGAGCAAAATCCTTGCCTTTTCAGTGAGTTTATGAGCTGGATGGGGAGTTAGATATTAATCAAATAAGTACATAAATACACAATTGTGAACTGAGATGCATGCTGTAATGAAAAGAAGCGTAGGACCATGGGAGTGTACAGTTGAAGGACCTGCCCAGGCTATCCTGAAGAAAGACTGAGCTGAGGTATCAAAGTACAGTGAGAGTCTTTATACTAGAATAAAAACTTTGGCAGGAGGGAAGATAGCAGCCATGAGCAATTTAAAGAAGGCTATAGGGCTAAGGAAGCATGAGGAGATGAGATCATGGAGAGCCTTAAAAGGCGCTGACAGAGTATTCTGAAAAGATCACTCTAGCTCTAGTGTAGAAAGAAGAATAAATGTGGGCATATTAATTAGGATATTGATCTATTATGGGTGTGAATTGATGGTCACTTGGAGTAGGATAATTGGAGTCAGATAAAAAGGGGTAGATTTAAAAGCTGTCGAGTGGATTAAGTTGAAGGTTCTTAAAGGCCAGATAGCCATATGGTGGGAATGAGTGGAAAGGAAGTGTGGAGGAGGAGTCCTAGGATTCTGGTTTGTAAAACATGAAGAACATCCTGTTGATCTGCTATACTACCTCCACTTCTTTATTTCTGTTCTTTCATTTTAAGTCCTTTTCCTTAAGATTGCCCCTAGCTGTACTTGATTGTGTATTTTCTTAATGCCCCAGTGAAAATTTGTGTGTGTGTGTTAAACCCATCAGTCTTCCATGTTAGATTGTGAGCCGTTTGTTTCCTAGCATGGTAGCTGGCACTGATTAGCTGCTCCTTGTGCCTTTATTGAAATGAATAGATTTGTTGTTTTTTTAAGTATGTATAAACTTAAAATGTATTATTATGAATTATAGCTTACGCATACATATATAGTATTTCTATATACAGTTAAAGGTACAATAATGATATTGTAGGCACCACCCAGGCCAAGAAATACAGCATTACTATACTCTGAAGCACCTGCGTTCCTTCTTTCCCTCGGGTTGTTCACTAACCTGGCTTTTATTTTTATCGTTCTTTTTTTTTTTTTTGAGTCATTTTTACTACTTATATTTTGTTTATTGCCTAGCTTTAAACATTATATAAATGAAGTGCTACTGATGATGCAGTCTTTTGAATTTACTTTTTCATTTGGTGTTGTATTTTTGACATTCCCCCTTGGCTAATGTATAGGTAGATTTGGTTGTTTAACTCCCATGCTGTATAATACTCCTCTGGAAAAATATGTCACAGTTTATTTCTGTTCCATTCTGAATGGACATTTGGCTTGTTTTTAGTGTTTTCATGATGAATAATGTGGCTTCATACTTTCTTGTATGTGATTCCCAATGTTTGTGGGGAGGAGTTTCCCAGTAGCAGGAGTTGGCAAAGGAGAGCATATGGGCTGATAAAGTAAAGTTGTGTTCAAATACAGCCATGTTCATTTGTGTATGGCAGCTTTTGCAGCATGGTTGCCAGACTTGAGTAATTGTGACAGAGATGATATAGGTGCCTGACGGATTTGTTACTGGGGCATTTACAGAAAAAGTTTGTTCATGCTTTCTTGAGAGTATATACAAGGTATAAAATTACTCTGCTATAGAGAGAGTGATGATTAACGTTTACGTATAGGTGTGTAAGAAACTTTTCTTTGAAAAATAGATTTCTTTCTGAATAGGCATTTTTTAAAGATTTATTCATTTATTTGAAAGGTAGAGTTACACAGAGAAAGGTAGACTTACACACATACACAAACACAGAGAGAGAGAGAGAGAGAAAGAGATGGAGAGAGACACAGAGAAAGGTTTTCCATCTGCTAGTTCACTCCCTAAATAGCTGCAATGGGCCAGGGCTGGGCAAGGTTGAAGACAAGAGCCAAGAATCTCTTTTGGGTCTTCCACATGGGTGCAGGAGCTCAAGCACTTGGATTATCCTTCACTGCTTTCCCAGGCACACCAACAGGGAGCTTAATGGGAAGAGAGCATCAAGGACTCAAACTGGCACTCATAGGGATACTGGAGCTGCAGGAGGTGGCTCTACCTGCTATGCCACAGCATCAGCCTCCGTTGTTTTATTCTTTCTTATTAACTTTATATAACTTGCTTGTGTTGCAAAGAACAAGATCTTATTCTCAACCTAAGTGGATCTTTGGAAGAACGTAGCAGAATCTTAAATGAGTCATTGTGTTTTGTCTTTGGTAGCTTCATGCTTTTCATCAGTCCCTCCGAGACCTCAGCAGTGAACAGATTCGCCTTGGAGAGGATTTCAACAGGGAACTTTCCAGAAGAAGCCGGTAAAAGTAGAATATGGTTTTCATGGGAGGTGTGAGTTAATAGACGAATAAATTAGCTCCTGTAATTGACATATCTACATAGATTTAAGACATAGTGCTGTGTTTTCATGCAGGTGTCCTAAAATTGATTAATGTAACAATTCAAAACACCTTGAGTTTAAAGTATCATTCAACATTAGAGAAATTAATTTAATTATTTCTCAGATGTTTTCAATTAATACAATAGAATGTTGATATTAGTAAAAAGATAACACTGTAGCAAAGAGGTTGATTTGCAAATGCATTGGAGAGAGGCAGAGTGAGTCAGATGAGATTGGCTGAACTGACTGACTCCTGGGGTTGTAAGAAAAAAAGTAGAATGTTGTGTTTGTCAGTGGACATGAACAATTTTAGAATCAGATATTTTAGGTTTTAGCTGTAATCATTGAAAGCTATTGGTTAACGTTTGCCCTGTCTTTGAAATTTTGTCGAATCTGGATAGCCGCTGGAACCATCACTTAATTTAGAACTTACTCTTGCTTTTCACTTTATCTGCAGCAGTGGCAGGTGGATTTCTTTTAGAGGCCATAGTTTGCTAGTAAACAAATATTTAACTTCTTAAGAGTCAGAATTTTTATGCAGCAAAGATTAGGGAACAACAAAACGGAATCAAAATTCCGTTACCATGTTCATTTGCTAACTCTAGCTACTTAAATCATACCATTCATAAATGTGTGTGTTGCAACAGAAAAGTGTCAAACTATAAAAGCTGCATCTATGAATCTGGATAATCTGAGTCTGCATAACTTACCTTCTGTTGAAGAGGAAGGCAGGAAAATTAGCAATAACAATAAAAGTTTCTGCTAGTGTTATTACTAGTACCATTAGCTCATATTGTTGAGCACTTATTTCATCCCAGATGGTTTTAAATTTTATTATTGGAATAGCCCTATTAGGTATTCATTTGTATTTTTTCCATTTCATGAATCAGGAAATGGTCACATAGGGATACAGTAACTCAGCTTACTTGAAATCAAATGAGAGGGTTGTAATAGTCAGAATTCAAATCTAGACAGTAAGGTCCCAACGTCTCTATTCTTTGCCACTTCTTACAGTATTCTGTGGTTCAGGATTATGTTCACATGTAGCTTATGTCTTTAAAGAACTTAAATTTCTAAATTGTGAACCACACTATTGAGCTATATCTTTTAAACTGGTAAGACTTAATTTAATATTTAGTTTTATTAAAAATGTTAAAATTAACAAAATGACATCAACATTCTAATATAATGTGTTCTTAGTTTTGATTAGTTTTTATTATGTAACTTTTATACATTTAAAGGGAAGGTAATTTTAAGCCATAAGAATAGAAGTTTCGGGAAATAGTTGTCCTGTAAGAAGATGTAGGAGAAGTTGCTGAGATGATTTAGTTGATTGGTTTAAATGATCTTCTTAAAGTGCACTGTTGAACTGAGACTCTTCTGATCTATTGGCTGGTACCATCTTGTAATAGTCTGTATGATATGGAGATATATGTATGAGGCAGAGAAACTATAACTTACAGTAAGTGTCAAAATTAAAATGTAAAGAGATGACCTCATGTCATGGATGAGTAAAATTTTAGGAATCAATTCTGCTTTACTTTTCCACCAACTATTAATTCATGTTTATCAAAATATTGGGTAGGAACTTAGAAGGTTTACTTCAAATTTTTTATTTGATTTAGGATGCTTGATATTCTTGTTAGGGTATCAATTTTATGTTTTTCAAACATTACAAAAAGTACTTGATAATAAAAGGACATGGAAAAGCAAATTTTTCAAAGGATTAAATAAAATTTAATTCAGAACTCACATGCTTTGGATGCTATGTGGAGAACTGATTTGAGGAAAATGAGTTAAGTATATTGCAACAGCACATGTGAGCTGATGATATCTGGACCAGGATTAGAACAAAAGGAAGAGAAAGAGAGAGAGAAAGAGACGTGGATGGGTCATGTTTCAAGAAATGTGTTTGGAGGTCCAAAAGGTCGCACTTGGTAGAGGAATAGATGTAAGGGCTGAGGGAGAATAAACCAAGGATGACTCTCAGATTTCCCATTGGAGAAAGTGGGTAGATGGTAATTCTTGATTTGTGGAAGTCTATTTGTGCCAGGTGAGGTATAGCAGTTAAAAGTCTGGCCTTGGATCTGTTAGTTTTGAGATGCCTGTGAGATATTCAAATGGAAAGGTAAATATATAGCTAGATATTTACTCTGGAACTCAAAGAAAAAGTTTCTGATATACATATTTAACAGTTCTCAGCCTGTGGAAGTGGTTTTTGGTACCATAAAAATGGATGATACAAAGAGAAAAACTATAAGGAGAGTATCCAGGACAAGGCTGTGTACAAGGGAGTTTTGATATCTGGGAAGCTTACACACAGGGAGGAGCTGGCCTGAGAAAGAACAGCTAGTGATATGTTGGAAATCCATGAGAGTGTGGAACTACAAAAGCTAAGGAAGAGGTAAAAATAAAGACATTTTCAGTGATTTAAAACTTTGAAAGTTTACTTTTTAAACATATTTCTTTCTGAAAAAATTACTTAAGGATATATATAAGTAAAATAATACTGTAATTAAGGGAGAAGAAGATATAGATTATAAGAAATAGAAAAACAAACCTTGAAATTCTGTGAAAATAAAACAGAATGATAGGCTTGTAACAGACTTAGGCAGCATTATGTATACTGTAAATTAGAGCAGGCAGGTAAGTGTCCTTGAGAAAAATGCACAGTGAGAGAAGAGGATTTTTCATAGATGATTCATTGAGAAGTGAGAGGGAAATATCAATGGGTATAAGTAAGGCCCAAATAAGGCTGAATTACCGAAAAACTCTAGAAAAAACAAAAGCAGACTTATTATTTCAGCATATGTGAGCTGATGAAAATGTGAGCTTGGTAGAATATGAGGAAAAAACCATCATTGTATATATACATAAAATTACATAGGTAACCAATGGAAGAACTAAAAATAGTAATAAATTTATCCAGAATTGGAAAGGAATGTGAATGCGTTAAATATTTCAAAATAGGTCAATAAAAAATGCATAGAGTTGAAGATGATGAAGGTAACCAGCAAAAGAATTAAGAACAAGAATGTCCATGGTTGCCAGTAGGCACTGCAACAAGAGGTAAGGAAGTGTGAGTGAGAAAGGCTTTTTCTTTTCTTTTCAGTCTTTCTGTACTCTTTGTTATGCGTGTTACTCATTTGATGAGAAAAAGTGATAGTGGGGGCTAAGTTAGTGAGGAGGAAGTTTGTGTATCACACTCTGATCTAATTTGATTATGAATTGCAAGATCGAGAGTATGAGGTGAAGAATTTTGTCTTTCCTTTTCCTTCCTTCTTTTCTTTCTTCTAAATAGGAAATGGAAATAGTGCAGCATGCTTGTTGATTGAAGATTATGTTCTAGTACAGTGATTCTCAAAGTTTGATCCCTAAAAATTACTGCGTTATTATCACCTGGGATTGTGTAGAGAGGCACATTCTTGGGCTTCATCCCAGATTTACTGCTTCAGAAATTTGGAGAATGGGTTCCAGTGATCTGTTTTAATAAGCCCTCTAGGTGTTTACATGTTTACGTTTGAGAACCATTGCAAAAGAGTCATATATGAATGTTACATTGCAAATTTCATCAGTTCTGTGGATTTTTTCAGTTATCCAAGTTAAAAGCATTTTCTTTGTTTGCTTAGGTCAGATGCCGAAACAAAAAGGGTTTTGGAAGAATTGACCGAAAAACTTAATGAAGCCCAGAAACAAGAAGTGGTAAGAACTGTGTTTATAAAAAGTTGTATTTTGTATGGAGATGGTGGGAGGGTGCGGGGCTGGTTATAATCATGATGAAGCTTTTAGAGTTTAACCTTCTGGTGATGTATGTGTGTTTAAAAATATGTTCTTGGGGCCTGCTCCGTGGCTCAGTTTGTTAGTCCTCCACCTGTGGCATCGGCATCCCATATGGGCACCGGGTTCTAGTCCCGGTTGCTCCTCTTCCAGTCCAGCTCTCTGCTGTGGCCCAGGAGGGCAGTGGAGGATGGCCCAAGTGTTTGGCCCCTGCACCCACATAGGAGACCAGGAAGAAGCACCTGGCTCCTGGCTTCGGATTGGTGCAGTGCTGGCTGTGGCAGCCACTTGGGGAGTGAACCAACAGAAAGAAGACCTTTCTCTCTTGTCTCTCTCTCTCACTGATTATAACTCTACCTGTCAAATAAAAAAATAATATGTTTTTGTATGTTTCTGAATCTCTTATAAAATGTCCACGAATTTTGTATATTAAAGTTGGAAGTATAACAGTGGTATGAAAAGTATAATTAAAAGTTTATTTTGGTGGAAACTTTCTTACTTTTTTGATAATATGCGTTTTGCAGACCTTGTATGCATGAATTTCAAATTTTTTGTGTATCTGTTGTAGTTTTTTGTGTTGTAGTCGCCTTGAGGCTTATCTTAAAGCACAATAAGGCCGGTGCCGCGGCTCACTAGCCTAATTCTCTGCCTGCAGGGCCAGCACCCCGGGTTCTAGTCCCGGTTGGGGTGCCGGTTCTGTCCCTGTTGCTCCTCTTCCAGTCCAGCTCTCTGCTGTGACCCGGGAGTGCAGTCAAAGATGGCCCAGGTCCTTGGGCCCTGCACTTGCAGAGGGGACCAGGAGGAAACACCTGGCTCCTGGCTTCGGATTGGCACAGTCCTTCTCCTAAGACTTCAGATTTTAGCAACTATTTCATTAAATAAGTTTTTTGCCCCTGTTTTCCACGTCTCTCTTCTTTCTGGAACTCACATAGTGTAAATGTTTGTTGTGGCCAGCATTGTCATGCAGCTGGTTAAGCCTTGCCTGCGATGCTGGCATCTCTTTTTGGAGTATTGATTGGAATTCTTGCTGCTCCACTGCCTTTTCAGCTTCCTGCTAATGTGCCTAGAAAAGCAGCGGAAGATGGCCCATGTAGATGGAGATCCAGACAGAATTTCTAGCTCCTGGCTTTGGCCTGGCCCAGCCCTGGCCAAATAGACAAATGGGAAGTGAACTGGCAAATGAAAGATCTCTTTCTCTCTCTCCCTTTTTTTTTTTTTTTCCCTGAAGATTTATTTATTTTATTTGAAAGAGTTACATACACACACAGAGAAGGAGAGGCATAGACAAAGAGGTCTTCCATCTGCCAGTTCACTCCTCAGTTGGGCGCAATGGCTGGAACTGCGCCGATCCAAAGCTGGGAGCCAGGAGCTTCTTCCAGGTCTCCTATGCGGGTGCAGGGGCCCAAGGTCTTGGGTCATCTTCCACTGCTCTCCCAGGCCATAGCAGAGAGCTGGGTTGGAAGTGGAGCAGCTGGGACTAGAACCAGCACCCTCTCCCACTGTCTTTCCATCTGTCTTTATTAACTCTGCCTATCAAATAAATAAAATAAATCTTAAAAAAACCCCACTTGTTTGCTTCATGGTGTTCCATGATTCCCACTGGCTACCTTTACCCTTTTTCACTCTCTCATATTATTGAATCATTTCATAAGATTTATCTTCAAGTTCATAGATCCCTTCTTTTGCTTGATAAAGTCTGCTATTGAAGTTCTTAATTGTATATTAAAGTTCGCTTGTTGAATTTTTCAATTTCATTATTTATATTTAGTTCTTCATTACATATCTGTTTTATTTCACAGATCACAAATTGTTTTCCTGATTTCATTGAATTATCTATTTCTATTCTTTTGCATCTTGCTGAATTTCTTTTTTTTTTGAAATTTTTAATATATTTATTCCCATTTGCATTTTTTTTAACTTTTATTTAATGAATATAAATTTCCAATGTACGATTTATGGATTACAATGGCTTCCCCCACATACCGTCCCTCCCACCCACTACCCTCCCCTTTCCCACTCCCTCTCCCCTCCATTCACATCAAGATTCATTTTCGATTATCTTAATATACAGAAGATCAGCTTAATATACATTAAGTAAGGATTTCAACAGTTTGCTCTCACACAGAAACATAAAGTGAAAAATAATAGATGATTTTCTTTAAATGATGATGAAATCAGATCAGACCTATTGTCATGTTTAATCCCAGTGAGAGTCAAGTTGGGAGTTGATAATTTCTTTCTTTCTTTTTTTTTTTTTTTTTTTTTACAGAGGATCAGTTTAGTATACATTAAGTAAAGATTTCAACAGTTTGCACCCCCATAGAAACACAAAGTGAAATATATTGTTTGAGTACTTGTTATAGCATTAAATCTCAATGCACAGCACATTAAGGACAGAGATCCTACATGAGGAGTAAGTGCACAGTGACTCCTGTTGTTGACTTTACCAATTGACACTCCTGTCTATGGCATCAGTAATCTCCCTATGCTCCAGTCATGAGTTTCCAAGGCTATGGAAGCCCTCTGAGTTCTCCGATTCTTATCTTGTTTAGACAAGGTCATAGTCAAAGTGGAGGTTCTCTCCTCCCTTCAGAGAAAGGCACCTCCCTCTTTGAAGACCTGTTCTTTCCACTGGGATCTCACTCGCAGAGATCTTTTGCCAGAGTGTCTTGGCTTTCCATGCCTGAAATACTCTCATGGGCTTTTCAGCCAGATCCGAATGCCTTTAGGGCTGATTCTGAGGCCAGAGTGCTATTTAGGACATCTGCCATTCTATGAGTCTGCTGAGTATCTCACTTCCCATGTTGGATCACTCTCCCCTTTATTTATTCCATCGGTTAGTGTTAGCAGGTACTAGACTTGTTTATGTGCTCCCTTTGACTCTTAGTCCTTTCATTATGATCAATTGTGAACTGAAATTGATCACTTGGAATAGTGAGATGGCATTGGTACATGCCACCTTGATGGGATTGAATTGGAATCCCCTGGTATGTTTTTAACTCTACCATTTGGGGCAAGTCAGCTTGAGCATGTCCCAAATTGTACATCTCTTCCCTCTCTTATTCCCACTCTTATGTTTAACAGGGATCACATTTCAGTTAATTTTTAACACTTAAGAATAACTGTGTATTAATTACAGAATTAAACCAGTCGTATTAAGTAGAACAGACAAAAAAACTACTAAGAGGGATAATGTATTAAGTTGTTCATTAACAGTCAGGGCTATGCTGATCAAGTCACTGTTTCCCATAGTGTCCATTTCACTTCAGGAGGTTTCCTTTTTGGTGTTCAGTCAGTTGTCACCGATCAGGGCGAACATATGGTATTTGTCCCTTTGGGACTGGCTTATTTCACTCAGCATGATGTGTTCCAGATTCCTCCATTTTGTTGCAAATGACTGGATTTCGTTGTTTCTTACTGCGGTATAGTATTCTAAAGAGTACATATCCCATAATTTCTTTATCCAGTCTACCGTTGATGGGCATTTAGGTCGGTTCCAGGTCTTAGCTATTGTGAATTGAGCTGCAATAAACATTAGGCTGCAGACCGCTTTTTTGTTTGCCAATTTAAATTCCTTTGGGTAAATTCCAAGGAGTGGGATGGCTGGGTCGAACAATCATTGTTTTGAAAGCTTTTTCAGGAAATTCCCAGATTTCTCTTTCACTGGTTTAGCTACTGGAGAAATGTTATGTTCCTTTGACAGTGTCATGTTTCCTTGCATTTTTATGTTTCGTGAGCTGTCCTAGAAGACTTTTACCTGCAGACTAGCCTGAGGATGCTGGAAGGGCTGGATGTGGCAGCTTTGATTCTGTGTGGGTGCAGTGATGTACTTCCAGTTTCAGCTGTGGTCAACGGTATCAATGTTACATTTGGCTCAGCAGCCTAGGCTACTGGAATTTGTGATGTTGATGGTAGCTATGTAGATTATTAGAGGGAGGCTTTGGAGATCCTCTTGTTCTTACCACAGTGAGAAGTGTATGCTGGAGGGAATCTCTCTTGTTAGTGGATCTGTTATGGATCACAGGCAGCTACAGAGGCACTAGGATGCATGCACAGGTGCTTGAAGTGATTATGGAGCCAGGTTCCTTAGCTCAGGATCTTGCAAATCCTATGTAGCATCAGAAACTTGAGGCAGAGTTTCAATTTCCAAGCCACAATTGAATGCAATTATCCTAATAAGCTGAGATCTTCTCTGATTCTCTGAGACACATTGCAGCAGCTCAGGCCCAGGGGACTTGGGATGTAGCTTTGATTCTCACTGTGGGGAAAAGGACTGGGCACTCTCATAGCTCAGGGGAGGTAAGGGTACTTCGGAGGCTGGGGCCTTAGAGAGCTGGGCACAGCTACATTTTTTTTTAAGGTTTATTTAGTTGAAAGAGTTAGAGGGGCATTAAGAGGGGGGGGGAGATAATATCTTTCATCCACTGACTCATTCCTCAAATGTCTGCAGTGCTGGGGCCAGGACAGATTGAAGGCAGGGGCCTGGAACTCCATTCAGATCTCCCACGTGGGTGGCAGGGACCCAAGCCCTTGGGCCATCTTCTGCTGCTTTCCCGGGAGCATTAGCAGAGAGCTGGATCAGAAGTGGTGCAGTCAAGACTTGAACCAGTGCCCACATGGGATGCTGACTCACACGAGGCAGCTTACCTGCTGCACCCCAATTCTAGCCCCTCACAGTTGTATTTTTGTGACCCAGAGACAACAGAAACAGTGGTGGCTTGGACTCCAGGGAATGAGGTGCCAGGCAATGACGACTGCAGACACTAGGATGGTGGTACCTGACAGTGGCCCAGGCCCTGTAAGATCAGGTGCTCCAGCAGCAAGGACCTAGGAGTGGCAAAATGCTGCTGTTACTTGAGCCCTGTGGGGTGAGGAATAGTGCAGCGGTGATTTCAGTCCTTGGACAGTTGTGATTCCTCAGCACC